GTTGTCACTAGTTAATTTCTCCCTGCTACTGTATGTGGAGAAGGCAGCTTTCTCACTATCCCACTCTTCTCATTTGTGGCACAATGAACTGGACTGGAGTAGAGTACTGCCTGTCTTCAGGCAACATTCTCAGGGAAATAAATAAAGGAAAAGAAAGAAAAATATTCATAGATCTCACTTGACCAAAATGATTCAATCTACATGGCTTATACCAGCTCTGAATTTTGTGCTGCGAGTAGACATTTGTTCATCAGTTTTACTAGTTACCATAAGTACCAGGAATCCTCCCATGCTATCACTTCCAAGCACACCGGTTTATCTTTTTCTGACTTGTGAGAAGATAGAGCCTGCCATAAATTGGCGTAAAGTCGTAAGCCAAAACATCTGAGAAGAATGCCTGTTGAAAAACAATACATTTTCTTCAAGCAGTATTTAAAAAGAGCTCACTTAAARTATTAGGAAATTGCAATTAGATGCAGGAGGTACATGTGGTTATTGCCTAGGTCATTGCTTCTAACTAGATCTGTCTTGTCTTTGARAGCCTGCTGTGTTTACAGTCTCATTGAAACAACACTCCTTGCAGCTGCTTCTACTAAAGCTTCTGAATGGAGGTGGCTACGCTATCTCAGCATGCTTTTTGCAGCTGCCATATAATAAATCACAAACAGGRACATACAAATAGCCTTGCCAGAAAATCCCATTAAAGTAACTCATCTTACTGTTTCTCCACAACTTGTAACCATGGTTCAACTACAGACACAGKACCCCTTCAATTTTCCTTCAGTTCACACTGTTCTTCTCACCAGCAAATATTTGTCCACCTTCTGTAGGTCACACTTCATGAAGGTGGGCTTCTGTCCACCATGTGTGTATTTGTGTCCTTGTTCAGCTCAACTGCAATCAGAATGATTTTCTGATCCAAGCTGAATCTGATCTCCCTTCATCTTCCAGAATTGGATTCAGGTGACTCCATGGCTTTCAATTAATTTTGCCTCCATCTCAAAACACTTATGCTGAAACTTCAGGAGCCATGAACACAACCACTCTGGTTGTTCTATCTTTCAGGAAAAGAATTTGGCACCTCTGCGCTTGGAAGCAGCCATAGCTCTGGGCAAAGTCACTAAAAACAGCCATATGTGTACTTTTGTAGATGCATAAAATCTGCCACTGAGCTCCTAGTGCTGCAAAACCTCCAGTGGTGAAGTTTCAGCATCTACCCTACCTGCAGGCATTAGATGCAGGGCACAGGGAAATGCCAAAAGTGATGGGGAAATGCTGCTTGCACATGTTTGCAAGCTCTAACAATAGGTAGCTGGCTTCCTTTATCCATGCAAATTCCCCTTGCTCCTGGCAAAGTGACTCATATTTACAATACGCAGTTTTGAGCAGCTTACATAAAGTGCTTGTAATACGCTAAACAGAAGAACCGCAAGGTATGTAATGACAGGAAACAAACCCTAATTATACACTTGTGTGGCAGCCTCCAGTATAAACCCAGAGACTGGCAATCCAGTAGCAGTTTTTCACAAGTGCACATTTACGTCTATTTTGTTTTCTGGTGTGATTTTCTACAAACTTCATGTGCTTTGACAGACCTGTCTGTGCCTCGTTCTTGCCACCATCCTAGTATTAAGCTTCAGGTTGCTACTGAAATCTGATTTGACAGGGAGCAGACTCAGGGATGGTGTGATTGAYGACATTGCAATGCAAAAGCTGCGTGTGTGTCAGCAGCTTCTCATAACAAAGTCTGCAAAATATGGAGAAAATGAAAAAAAGTAGCAACTGCTAACTACAGAGGCCAATCACAAGGCTGTGATGAATATCCAAGAGAAACTATAGTCTGACGACCAGGTTTTTCTCTTGCTACTTCACTTAGGATCCTCAAGAATACAACAGAACAAATAACCAGTCTCTCTGATGTCCCTTACCCTGCTTCTCTCTCAAAAAAACCCCTTACAACTAAAAACCCCACAAACCCAAACACACWGAAAAACCAAACAAAAACCCCAAACCAAAGGCAAAAACCCACAAGACTAACCCATAATAACCAACAAAAAAAACCCTSCACCCTGAAAGTACTGGCCACAGTTTGTACAATTTACAATTCCTTTGATCTCAAAGTTATTTTAATCCTCTACCTTAAAAGCTGTCTTGAACATGTGTCTGTGAAGTGTCTCTTCCATTAACTAAGTTCTTTGATCTGGGTGACTGAAATACTTTATTGTTCATACTCAGACTGTAGCAGCTTCTCAAAATTTACAGATAGAGAGTAGTTTCAGATTATGATGTTTGTAGCAAATGCATGCAGCTGAACAGCTCAGCAGCCCACCTTAAAAAACACCATTTAAGAAAGAAAAGCACTGGTTTTCAGAAGGAAAAAAAAGAAGCCAAACAACCTAACAAAAAATCAAAACCACTAAAACCTGCAAACCCAACAAACAGAAAGTTGTGTTCACTCTTCTCTGAAGACTTTGACTAGATAGAAGAGCATTTCTGTCAGAATGCAGTAGCAGAAAAACTGAAAGCTAAAAATGAAAAGAGTAGAATGAAGAAGCATTATTCATAATAGAAATCATGCTCTGTCCTGGTCCAGTTACGCATTTCAGAGTCTGAAAGGATAAGAYAGCAATGCTTGTGCAAGGATTTTCCCAAGGGTGTAGAAAGGTAAGAAATTTCTGGGAACTTTAAGGTGTTTACATTCATGCAGCTGGCAAGTCAGCTGACTACTGTAGGAAATCGTATAACASGAGATTCAATTAATTCAGATAAAGATGTTACCTATCTCTGACCTGAACAAAATAATAAAGAAAAAATTTCGAGAGACGAAACTGATAGCCTTATAGACTACTTATTATGCTGARAAGCTTTACCATGGATGAAATCCAGAGATGCTCTCCTGGAGAAAAGTTTGTTTTCACCTAACTGACATTAACTTAAAASTAGTGAAAACCAGTCATTACTACAGAAGTTAGAAAGAGACATGGAGATCTCTTATAACAAATTCACATAGATTCAGGAAAACATGGAACATATYGCATTGCAAAAATTCTAGAGGTCAGAAATAAACTTTTCCACTAGAAACAAAATTCCTGGTTTTCCCCATGATGAACAGATACGTAACTTCTTTGGGAACTCTGCCAAGGCAAAAAATCTACAAGCCACAGCACAAGCCAAGCTACTGACATGTGGTTTAGGTTTCGGTCATCTGGACCAACCTCCCTGGTCAAGCAGAGCCTTCAAGATTTAAGAGAAAGTGCTAGGCTTCTAAGGAATTTGGCTTAAGAAAAGAGAGACATTGTTCAAAGTGAGGCACCAGGCAAATATATACTACTAGTTAGCCCTGCATGGATAAATTATAAGTTCATAATTTATTAATAGTTTATTAAAGTAATCACAAAAAGGAGGAGCATGGTGACAGTATTTGGTAATAATATTAAACTACGGGACATGCAACACAGGATCTTGAACACAGAACAAATGAAGATCTTGAACAACAACAATTATATGAAAAGGAAATAAATTGATATAAGATATAACAGCTGGTGGTTCAGGGACAGAATTTGGAGATGACAGTCACTGTCATCTGTCAGTGTGATGTGGCTGTGAATCCTAGGTCTTGTCAGAGGTACTAGCAGTAAATACACAGTAGAATTTGTGCCATAGAGAGAAGACTTTATATGGCTTCCTCTGAAAGTCTGTGAATTCATAGTTGAAAAGGAACAGAGAAGAGCAGGTGGGATTACTGGGGGAATGGAACTTTACCTGTGGCTACTGGTAGTCTAGTCTAGCAACATAAGCCTGCAGAACTGTTCACTTCAGGTGCTGAAATTTTCTTCCTTTCTCATACTAATTGTCAAGAAAAATCTAGACTTTTATATTTAAAAGTCATAAACTGGGAAATTTAAACTAATGGTATTGAAAACAAACACTGTTTTCCTTCGTTTCTGAGAAAATTTTCCGGAATGCTAAGGTCACTCAGGTAACTGCCAGAAAAAGGAGTGGGAAAGGAAGTACCTTATTAATCTTGATTTTGGCAGCAGCACTGTAAGCAACACCCAGAAATAAAAAACTCTCATCATTATATGTACTGCAGAAGCAGGTGGACCTCTGCTGGATTACAGAAATTAATTTAAAAACATAATCACAATTTCTTTGACTTGATCTGTCAAAAATTTATCACATTCAGCAGCTAAAATTTGGTTGTGTAAGTATGTATAGAAAATATACATATATATTTTTATTATATTATATACAATTAATATAATACAATATAATTATATACAATTATATAATATATATATAATATATACAATACATATATATATAATTATATACAATTAATATTAATACAATAATAATATAATATTATATTATATTATATATTATATACAAACTATATTATAGCCCTGCTTAGTTAACAAAATTGTTAATGGACCTAAATAATGCAGGTTACAGACAATCAGTGTTAGAAAAACAAATCCCAAACCACTTTCAGCAATATCTAAAAGGACGGTCGATACATGCTTCCACACAAAATACGTCCTCTCTTAAACATTCCTTTYTAAAATACACTTAGCAAACAAATATTAGTCTGCTTGGCGAAGCACTAAAAAGGTGCTTTGCTTGCTTTTTGGGTTTGTAGTCTAGACCCATCATATAAACATTCAAAGCATTTGGAAAGTTACTGTACTAAATTTCTCACAACAGTGTTTATGGCCAGAGATGTTTCTGTTGCTAAAAGCAAAGAATTTCTATCAATCAAGCAAGATGGTGTTCTTTAAAGCTGGACCTAAAAAGCTTTAAATAGTCAGCTCTRCAGTGGGTAGGAATACTTTATGATTTCACAGAWGGGATAAAGTACTTTCAAAAACCCCATGGAACATGTTTTATTTGTTCTCGGTTTTAGTCAGTTCTGAAATATATTTCACTTATAGCAGGTRTGAATTACCAACACAAAGGGAAAACATACATACAGTAAAAAAGTTCAAAGTTCTACTTACCTTTTTATATGTTTTCTCTTCATTTGGCTTTCCAGCAGTAACATCTCCATTTTCAGTAACAGACGACATCTAACAACAAAAGCTTGAGTTATAAAGAAGGTACTTGCTTTACAAAAGTAACTGTTCAGAAAATTCACAGAATTTATTAACAATTTTTGCTACACCCGAACTGCTCAGACGACAGTAAACTACCAAGATCAGTGATATATCTAGGATATTCCTCTAAGTATTTTCCACAGACTGAAAAAACAGCACTGCTCCAGGAGTATGTCCAGCATATGACTGATCCTGCACAACTGTGCTTCTTTTTCCCACACCAGTATGCAACAAAATCCTACTCCTCAACCTAAAGCATGAGATGTTCTTGAAAGGTCCAGTGGTGGGCAAGATTATGAAGCTGGTGAGCCAGATATTCAGTCTCAGAAGTCTAAGGTCCTTGGCTCTACAGATATGTTTTATCTCCTTAAAGTAGTAAGGAGATCACAGAATCACACAGAATCACAMAATATTCTGAATTCRAAGGTGATCCTTGAGATCTCAAAGATCACTGAGTCCAGCTCTTAAGTAAACGGSCCACACAGAGGTTGAAGCCACAGCCTTGGCATTTTTAGAACCATGCCCTAGCCATTCCACATTGCATCTTCTCACAGCTGTAAAGCCATGCTAGACCAAGAATAAAACCTTAAGCTAGAGATCACCTTGGTCAGACACATTAAGTATGATTGCCAAAGTAAACAAAACAAAAACTACAATTACATTACAATTTTAAATCTGTCTAGATTTATCAATACATTCACAATGGAATTACACTTACCCTTACGAATAACWGGGCAGGTCATCTGGAGCTGAGAGAAGAGATCAAGCCATACATTGGTAGTGTTAATATTTTCCACAACCTATTATAAGAAAAATCTGTCATCACTATGCTTCAACAAATTTACATCTCACAAAACAGATGTAGATTTCCTTTTTTTACCTATTCTTCAGTCCAAGCAAACACTTAGCTATTAGTTAGGCTTTTCAAGAATCACATCAAATAACTTGGTCACTATACTTAGAACTTACTATACTTAGAACATACCATAACTTGGTTAATATACTTAGGAACTAGCAGGATTACACAGGAGGGAATCAGTGCAGTCTATTTTCCTTTTGCCCTAGATATTTCACCCTTGTGGCATAAGCAACTCTAAAATAAAACATTTATGTAGAGCAGTACATATGCATGCTCTGGAGCGTTGAGTAATTACATGTGTAATTAATCTCATAGCCTTATAATCTCCAATCACTTACAAGAAATAGCTGTGACTGTTTGGAGGACAGCACATTGAAAAGATTACAAACTCATTTTGGAAGTTTTCCATAATGATAGTCACTATCAACCAAATTTCTGTGTGTAATCTTGTTGTGAGACCATTCTCATAGTTAAAATTATTTGACTAAACGTATGAGAAAACACGACATAATCAGATGCTATTTGATACTTCGCTAGAATCAGCTCTCCCTTCCATCTTCCACATCCATTTTAAGCCACACTAGTAAAGCTATTCTTCAGTTTAATTTCCCAAACATAAAAACCAAAAAGGACTCATTTTGTCTTTAGGCAGCACAAATAGCATCTTGTACATAATTAAAAATTGGTTAAAAAGAAGTAGTCTCAAGTCTTATTCACTGAATTTAATTTTCCATTACTCTAAAGTATATACTTAGCATCCCCAAGAAACCTTTTCATAAAAGCTTTCAAAGTCAGTATTTTCCTTCCTCTAACAGTATTGACACCACATGATGTTCTACTGCACACCACCTTTCTAAAATATGAGCACACACATTCAGCAAAAGCCAAACATGAATGCAACATGGGAGCTTTCTCTGAGTAAGTTAGCTGAGGAAAGYACTCATGCCAGACATGGAAAAATAGCCTGTTTTTTTTTCCCAGCATAGACAGACAAACTAATCAAGAACACTTCATTCATATGAAAATATACCTCTGTAATCCAATTCTGCCAATGATAGGAAAACAGACAATGAGAGACCAAGTTCACTAACTCCCAAGTACAAAAACTCATACACCATTAAGAATACAAATTTTTCCTGTATGTGTAGGCTTATTTCCTGAAGGCATCTATAGATTTATTTTGGTTCTAATCTTTTGAGAAACAGATCATACAGCTCTATCTTAACTGGAGTTAAGATATTATATTATGAAACAATCTTCAAAATCTTTGCTGTGAAAACCATCTCTTGTTCCATGCTAACTATTATTTGAAAAACATGCATTACTTTGGGTATATTTCTCCCTGCCCTAGGGCTACTGAAATGGTACACAGGCACCTTCTCCCATGCTTTATGATGTGCACAGCAACAGCCACTGTCTCAGTTCTGAGTCTCAGTTCTGAACCTCAGTTCTCATGTTTAACAGCTCAAAGACAGGTCACAAYTTACAGACTTGGATTAACTTCCAGGCTAAGCTACAACTATTTATTTTTTTTTGTTACCATAGCAGGAAACTACTGTAACTAAAGCTTTAAATCTCTGTATGTACCTGACAAAGAAAATCTCACAATAAAATAAGAAACAGGGTAGGGGTGGGTAGAGGAAGAAAATATTATGTTTCAAAGATACTGTAGCATGCTGACTTTGTCGGGATAAAGTTAATTTTGTTCACAGTAAACTAGCATGGGGTTACGTTTTGGATTTGTGCAGGAAACTGTTGATAACTCAGGGATGTTTGCTGCTCTTGCATAATGCTTACACAGCACCAAGACCTTTCCTGCTCCTCACAGCACCCCGCCACTGAGTGGGCTGGGAATGCACAATGAGTTAGGAGGGGACACAGACAGGACAGCTGAACCCAACTGACCAAAGGGTTATCCCAGACCATCTGGCAGCCCACAAACCTGAGGGAAAAAAAAAGGCAGAATAGTCAAAGTGACAGTTTTTCTTCCCAAGTCACTACTAGGTGCGATGAAGCCCTGCTTTCCTGTGGATGGCTGATCCTGGCAGCTTCCTGCCCATGGGAAACAGGGAGTGAATTCCTTGCTTTGCTTTGCTTGCATGCACAGCTTTACCAGTTAAGCAGTCTTATCTCAATCCCCAAGTTCTCTCACTTTTACCCTGTTGGCTCTCTCCCCTGTTCCACCAAGGGGTAGCCAGTGAGCCAATGCATAGGGCTCAGAGGCTGGCTGGGCGTAATGCATCAGAGTGAAAGATRGCTATAAAGATCTCCTCTTTAGCTTCTTAGATGCTGTCATCCTATCTGATGACAGAAAAAAAGAGGAACATTAAAGTACAGTAGAGATTTAAAGAGTATTTTTCCAAAATGCACTTGAAAAGCTAACACTTTGGTCACAAATCTTATGTGCAGCAAAAGCTGACATGTACAGTTCCTGAAACACAGGCTTACAGCCTTTAGTTCCAGTCTTCTGCTCTGAACACCTCCTTGTCCTAAAAGCAGACTTAAAAAAAGATCACATCTATCCAATGTATGCTTCAGACAAAAAAAAAAAAATGTGTTTCACAGTTTAGTTTCTCACACTAGAATCACAGAACCACATGATTCTTAACTAACATAAACTGCCATTTCCATCACTCTAGGGGGAAAGCACCGTATGCWTTTTCCCCTAGAGCTACAGGGACACCTTTTTAATTTCGCTGATCAGCCAGAAGCCCACAATGTTAACACCACCCTGCCCACCACATAGCTGGAATTTTGAGAACTGAGATGACAGACAGCAAATGTGAGCTTCCGACCCAGTTYTGAGTTCTTGAATTTTTAATTCCGTGTTCCTTATGTAGCCAAGGTTTATCTTCTACTAACATCATAAGGTATTCATTCTGCCAGATTATAAGTAACTACCAATTTTCACACAGCCTTGGTCGCTGGGGCCCATCTCACATGAACAAGTACTGGTACTTATACCTGAATGGCCTCTCAGCTCAATTTCAAGTTGACTTTAGAACTCCCAACAACTTCAGTGAAAGACAACATTCACGAAAAATGCTTTTGCTGGGTTCTTACAGGCCCGTGCATTAGTTCATTCAGCCAAAAATCAGTTCTGCCTTCTTTCGATTACCATGAAAACAATTCTTTTTGAAGAAGGCATTTCTTACCATATTTAGATCATTTTCTTAAACAAATCCTTTTTTAAAAGCACTAATAAAACATACTGTTGAGGAATCACATTCCAAATAAAAGCCATGTAGCTTTTCACCACACATTCTGTCTTGTTCTGGCTGATAGATAAAATTGAAATATTTTCCTAACTTTTAAAACAGACATACCCCTGGGTGTACCGCTGGCAAGCTTCTACAGTGAGTTAGTACAATCAAAAAGTGTTACTCAAAAGAAAACGCATGCATAACTTCTCTCAGGCATAATCTATAATTTAAACATGAGGTGTAAAAACCCAAAACAAAACAAAAAACCCAAAATTAAATGAAGWGTTAAATTTTCCACTGGGCATAGAGAGAATACTAGAAATTAAAGAAAAGAAGAAGCAATTATGCATGTTTAAGATGAATAATATACAAATAAAATAGACTGTATGGTGGAGATTTTTCAGTCTGAAACACACAAATGCCCTCATCTTTCCCCGATCTTTGTAATACCATCAGGACAAATGCTGCAGAGAAAGCAGCAAGCAAAAACCAACACAAAACTGCCATTTAGACTGTTCATCTACTCTAAGTCCTGTCAGSTGTTCACACCACCTTTATTTACCCAGCTTTAATAACACACATTAGTTTCAGTGCCCTGCCAGATCTTTTAGTCTCTCAGCAACTAATCTCAGTACAATGCTAAGATTCTGACACTGTTTGATTTCTACAGTTCCTCCCCTCCTCCCCCCCCACCCCATCCCCCCAGTTTCAGGAATATGGCACAGTACATGAATTTCTTTTAAAAACATGGTAACAAGAGTAGCATTTTGTTCATTTATTTTTTAGYTTGCTGGCTGGATTTAAAAAGTAATTTATCATACTGCCCATACTATAAAAACATAAGTTCATATTGTAATGCTTTGATTTACAGCAAAAAAGGTCAGATCATCTATCTTCCTCCTTTAGCTTTCAGAAGGAAAAAAAAAAAAAGAAAACTAGGACTTCAAAAAATATTACCTCAATCAAAGTTTACATATATTCAAAATACATATGATTACACAAAGATTTGACAATCTACAAGAACCCTTTCCTGTTCCATTTAAAGCAGTACTCCTTTTTCATTAACCTGTTCTTCGAGGTGAAACACAGGACCACTGTAATAACTGGGGCCACAGAAACAGCACCAACATCACAAACTATAGCTACAAATCATGTCCTTCATTTTGAAAATAATCTGCTGTGATTCTTTCAGACGGAAACTTTTTTACAACAATGCAAATAAAACTGAAAATTCATGGAAGGAACCAAAACATAGAAATCCTTGGATACACAGCATACGGTGTTCCTTCAATAAAGCACATAGATTTTCATTTGTAACTTCTGTATTTTGTAATTCTGCCTGTTACAGATAACTTGCAAGCAAGAGGTGAGTTTGTTGTGCTTCTCCATGAGTTTTGAAATTCAGAACTTCACTCCAAGGGTCTTAAATCTATCTCACTCCTCAGCTGCCTATTAGCCTACAAAATCTGTATTCTCAACTACTCTGTCTTCTGCTCTCCCCAGAAGCACCTAAGGATCTCTTACGTCTTTCCAAACACCGTCTGTAAAAGCAGAGGAAACTTTCTACTGCATACTAAATGGTGTTGATGTTTAATAACYAAGGGACTTTTCCAAATCAGTGAGCTCAGATCAGCCACCAGAAAGAACAAACATTTGATCTCTGACATAACTGACGTCACATTTGTGTATCTTGTAGAAACTGTTAACAGGCCCTCCTTTTACAAAGTGCAAAACGGTG